AATACTCAGCGCCTCGCCCTGAACCCTTGCACCCTAAACCCCCAAAGCCAAAGCCCTGCTTAAAGGATCATGGGACTTAGTAAGTAGGGTTATAATTAGGGTAACTATACTTATAACCCCAATTAAGGGACGTATAACCTTACTTACTGAGTTCCATGATCCTCCAAGTAGGGTTTAGCGTTTGGGGCTTAGGGCATCACTGTGCCCCTGTTTAGCCTTTTGGTAAGCTCGGTTGGCCTTTGGGCCATTTCGATGTTTCCCCTTATTGGGCTGACGACTGTTTCTCTAGTAAGCATGTGGGTTCAGGTTTCATTGTCAAGTGTCTAACATGTTGGGTTTGGGGTTTACAGTTCTCGAGTTTGGTGTTTAGGGTTGTTGGGCTAAGAGTTTCGGGTTTGGGGTGCACTAAAGCCACCAACCCAACAGCCGATGCAACGAAGTCGTTAACCGGTCGCCATCCCCCAATCTAGATGCTAGCAGCCCTTGCAATCAATCCCTACGCAAGAAATGTTGCAATGAAGCCCAAGATAAGCTGGAGGTTCTATGTACCCTACAGCTCCCATAAACAGCCCCGCGAAAGCCCTTTGAACAATGCCATAAGCACCCTTTGAACCAATCCAATGTACTACGCCGACACAACGACAGTCTAAGGAGGCCGACATAAACCCTAAACCCTAAACCCTAAACCCCGCTTTGGAGAAAGGGGCGTCATTGCACTTTAAAAAAAGCCCTAAACCCTAAACCCTAACCTCTCGATGCATGCGAAACAAGGCCTTATAAACTTATGGAGCCCTTACGTCGTCTCAGACCCTGTCAGAAGGACGAGACTTGAGTTGATCGTCGCAGAACGAGGGTTTCATCGGGTTTTTACAACAACCTATGGGGGGCTCTATAAGGCTTCTTAAAATGGGTAGTTCTCTAGATTAGGGTCCCTTTTAGGGTCCTTTTTATAAGGGTGCCGTACTATATTGGGGACCCAAAAAAGGACCTTAATCTAGAGAACTACCCAAATTCTCTCTATTCTAGAGCTTAGAGGATGGTTAGGGTTAGAAAGGACAGTTATTTTAGGTTTATTTTAAGTCGCTGTAGGAAATTTTCAATCCAAGGATTTCTTTGTTGTCTTGGGTAATGGCCTTTCTAAGTTTAGGGTGTTTTGGATGCTCAGGATTTTGGCTTGAGTGTCCGGCAAGTAGTTAAGTGCAGCGAGAAACCCACCAGGAAGTCGGTGCGGGTTTCACCACTTGGCACGTCATAAACGACGAGCTTTCCATGACTTTGCTTTGCTTGATTGCCTTTCACCTGAAGCCCCAAACCCCCAAAACAATCCTAAACCCTACACCTGAAATAATCCTAAAACCCTACAGCTTAGATAGTCCTAGACCCTCAACCTGAAACCCTAAACCATAAGCCCTAAACGCTAAGATTGATTCGATACCCTAAAGCCTTGAAGTCTAAACCCTAAGCCCCAGCCCAAGTCAGGCTTGGGGTTCTCTAAGCCTCGAACATTCCAAGCCCAAGTTGAAGGTCGACGCTTTGGGCTTGCCCTAAACCCCAAACCCCAAACCCCTGGTTTGGGGTTTAGGGTTTAGGGTCTAGGGTTTAGGGTTTAGGGTTTAGGGTTTAGGGTTTAGGGATTAGGGATTAGGGTCGCCCTAAACCATGGACCCGAAACCCCAAACCCGAAACCCCTGAACTCCGAAGCCCTTAAGCTAAACCCTAAACCCTAAACCCTAAACCCTAAACCCAAAGCCCTGAGCCCTAAACCGCCGGCCCGCAGCTCCTTGAGGCGATGCGCAAGGCGCTGAAGGTTTCCAGCCAGAAGATGGCGGAGGACAGGGGAGCTGATCAGCTTTCAGGGTTCAGGGGGGGTGAGGGTTCAGGGTTTAGGGTTTAGGGTCTAGGGATTGGGGTTTAGGGTTTAGGGTTCAGGGTTTGGGGCTTTAAATTTAGGGTTTACGGTTTAGGGGTTGGGGGTTTAGGGTCTAGAGTTTAGGGGCTAGGATCCAGAGATTACAGGATGACC